CAACTCAACAAAGTCCTCATTGTCGACAACCTGGGATACAACCTACTAAGCGTAAGCCAACTAATGGCCAAGGGGATTCACCTGGAGTGCGACTCCTACTCCAACGAGTTTCGGCTATACCACGGAAAGGGTGGCCTCTTCATCGGTCGTGCCCTCCTGAAATCCGGCGTCTTCGTGTTGGACTTCTTCCCCGACCGAGGTACTGCCGACAGCGACAGCATCGTATCATTCGCCGCCTGGACACACCCGCCGGATCTTGATCCAGAATTCGACAGTGACGGCTTCTGGCACTCCAACACCATACCTGCAGCAGAAAGAACACGAGCATTAGCAGTCATCAGACAAGAAAGACAAGTACCCGCGAGTATCCCAACCAAACCATCACCTGCAGTAGCAGCAGCAGGACCCAGCCGAGTCCCACCACCGGCGATCCGAGGACCGCCAACCGAAGCAGACCAACTTATGCCCATCACACGAGAAGTTTGTCGAAGTCCTGCCACAGTCGTCGCGTTCTTCTCCAACGCCGACATATACAACCGCTCGCCGGGTCATCGCGCTTCCGACGACATCTGGCACCAACGCCTCGGGCATCCTGCAAACAGCACGATACTACAAACAATCCAAGCAGAGGTGTTAGAACGCAACGCCCTCCTAACGACGAGCGGCCAAGAACTTCGACGACCACGAGCACGGTGCTTCACGTGCCCCGAAGCAGATCTTCCCCATCAGCCTTTTCCATCTCATCACAACCCAAGCGCACCTACATACGCTCCGATGGAAAAAGTCTACAGCGATATTTTAAACATGCCTCGAGAAGACACCGAAGCCGACTTCAACTACGTCATCACGTTCATTGACGCAGCAACCAGATACGTCTGGCACTTCAATCTCAAGACGCGCGATCAAGCTTTCGACGCCTTCACAACATGGCTTCCCATCGCCGAACGAGAATCAGGAACCAAGCTCAAGAGCTTCCAGTCAGACGGTGCACTGGAATACCAGTCACAACGCTTCAGGACCTATCTGGCGGAAAAAGGAATCAGACGCCTGGTGTCCCTGCCCTATGCTCACCAGCAGCAGGGGGTAGCAGAACGCATGAACCGGACCTTGCAGACGACGATGCAAAAACTGCTTCTGGGAATGAGGCTGCCCACCACACTGTGGCCAGACGCGATAACACATGAAGTTCACCTGCACAACCTGCTGTCCTCGTCATCGCTTCCCAACAATGCATCACCGCACCTGTTGTGGACAAGAAAAAGGGGCAGCACAAAATTACTCCAAGTTTTCGGCTGCATGGTACAGTACAGACCCCACACAGCCCGAGCAGGACGCTTCACACAACGAGCTCGGTGGGGACTACACCTCGGCATCGCCAAACACTTTCACGCGTGGAAAATTCTCGACATACAAGACAAAAATACCGTGGCATCACGTGATGTTATCTTCTACGAGCGACTGACGCTGCACCATTACCTGGACAACATTGCCAACACACAAGACCCCACCGACGGCTTCTCCGGACTTCGTTCCTTCGCCGACCGTGCTGCCGAAGCTGACGCGGCAGAAGAAGACGTACCTGAAGCCTCGGAAGCTGCCGGACCACTCCCATTCTGTTCCGTACCTGTCCCACTCGAAGAAGACAATCCTCTCGATAGCAACAACCTCGACACCTTTTACCACTTCGCTGACCAAGGTTACATTACACCCCACCCAGTCGACACAAATGTTTCGGAACGCATCGGTCCCAACTTCTTACCTGACCCAGAAGACGGTGACGAAGCAGCTTATTCCGGGAATGAAAATTCCCCTCGACACACACCCACAGGACTGCAGATTCTAGGCCTCTGGGTCTCCGTCCAGCATCCGCGGCCGCCTTCTCCGCGAGAGCCTTCGACCCTGTCGCAGGCTCTGGGGGGGGAATATAAAGCGAAATGGAAGGAAGCGATGGAAAAGGAGTTAAAAGCTCTGCAAGACCGGAAAACATGGAAAGTGGTACCTGCAACAAGCATCAACGGGAAAAACGTCCTCTCGGGGAAATGGGTGTACCGCATTAAGACCAACTCAGACGGCTCCATCGAACGATTCAAAGCTCGATGGGTCGTACGAGGCTTCGATCAACGATACGGGACCGACTACACAGAAACCTTCGCTCCAGTCTCCCGTCACACCTCATTACGCATCCTACTCGCCGTCGCGGCCACGAAGACATTACCACTACGCCAAATCGACGTCGCGAATGCGTTCCTATACGCACCTGTGGACGCCGAGATTTTCGTCGAACAACCCCACGGATTCATCGACGACCCCACGAAAGTATGCCAACTGACAAAATCCTTATACGGGATCAAGCAAGCCCCGCGGCTCTGGCAGCAGCATCTCCACGGCCGTCTCGCAAAAATCGGATTCCTACAGCTGCCGCATGACCAAGGAATGTACCAACTGCAGAAGGGAAGAGAGTATATCCTACTCATCGTCTACGTCGACGACCTGCTCTACATCGGCTCCACTACCGACATCGCCACCTGGTTCGAACGGGAGCTGAAAGAAGACTTAACACTCACGGTGTCCGACGAAGTGACCCAGTACCTAGGACTGAATGTCGACGAAAACGACACGGCGTTCTACCTACACGCTGGAAAGTACTCAGGCACCGTCGCGAAAAAATTCGGTGTAACACCGACTACTGTCCCAACCCCCTACCACTACGGTAACAACAACAGCACCTCCGCAAAACTCCCCGCGAAGCAAATCCAGGAGTATCAACAGAAGCTCGGCTGCCTACTATTCGCAGCAGTAACCTGCCGACCCGACCTGTCCTATAGTGCGAGTCAACTGGCGACGCATCTGAAGCAACCGGAACAGGAAGATCTTGAGGAGCTCAACCGGGCACTACTCTACTTCGTCTCCACGCCGACGATCGGGCTTACCTACAGCAAAGCGACAACACCGTCCGTACGACTACTCGGATACGTCGACGCCGACCACGCGGGAGATAGGGAAAATTGACGATCTAGGACGGGCTACACCTACCGACTAGAACCCATCGGAACTATCTCCTGGCAGTCGAGCAAGCAGGAGTTAATCGCACTATCCTCGGCTGAAGCAGAGTATATCGCCCTTTGTACTGTGCAAGGAAGGACTCTACCTGCGGGAGTTACTCGAGGAAGCGAAGATCGCGACCCTACCCGCCTTCTCACTCCTCTGCGACAACCAATCTGCGATCAAAATCGCGAACAAAGACGGCTTCGCCAACCGAACCAAGCACATCGCCCTGCGGTACTTCTTCGTCAAGGATGACATCGCGAAGGGGAGACTTCAACTCAGTTACTGCCCGACGACAGAAATGGCCGCAGATTATCTGACGAAGAAATTGGCGAAAGCAAAATTCGACTACTGCATGCTCCTGACCGGGCAAACAAACGTCACCGGATCTGAACACGCCAGCACTCCAGAAACGAAGGGGAGTGTTGGAAATATCTCAAAGGACTTAAGCGTTTCTGAAGTATAACACTGTACTCGAGGAAGATTACAGGGGAGCACGCGAGTCAACGGAGGTTGCACGAGGGGGCGGACAAATAATGCGAAAAGACTCGAAAGGTCGCAACTGGAGGTTACGACTGACCGTTACAACATCACGGATGGTAACCGAAGCGGCAATCGAGTCGCTGTGCGACTCGATAAACCGTTCCTGTAACTGTATTCTACAACTGCTTTCTTATCTTCTATATATTGCTGTATGCTTGTTTCTTTAATCAATCACTTGTTCTCACATACTAGTACAAGGGTTCAACCGTCTCAACTTCCGCTGCACTACTCAAAGTCTCAAGTCTTCACAGCTGGGACTTAGTCTCTGAAAAGATCCTAAGGGCTTTTTCTCAGCCCAATAGTAATGAAGAAGAAAAGTGTCGAGAGAAGAGTGGTAGACTATTTAGGGCTGAGAAAAAGCCCTTAGGATCTTTCATAGACTAAGTTCCAGTTGTACAAGATACTTGAGTAGTGCAGCGGAAGTTTGAGTAGTTGAACCCTTGCACTAGTATGTGAGAGCAAGTGATTGATTAAAAGGAACAAGCATACAACAATATAGAAAATAGGAAAAGTAAAGCAGTTGTAGAATACAGTTGAAGGAACGGTTATCGAGTCGCACAGCGACTCGATGGCCGATTCGGTTACCACCCTTGCAGTTGTAACGGTTAGTCGCAACCTCCGGTTGCGACCCTTCGAGTCTTTCGTCCTTTTGTGTTCTTTCGTCCTTTCGTGTTCTTTCGTCCAACCTCCTCGTGTAACCTCCGTTGACTCGCATACTCGATACGGCTTCACTCGAGTGTGATGTTAGACTTCAGAAACGCTCAAGTCCTTGAGGTATTTCCAACAGACTAGAAGAGAATGAAGTACAAGAAGGGGGTTGTCCCCCCTACAGTAGGATGCAGTTAGTAGCATAACTACCAAGCCTACAATTATATAAAATATAATTTTAACATCAATCCCCCAAGCAGATGTATTTCCGATACATGGGTACATGTGACTATTTGGCCTTGCAGAAAGCATCCCCGTCTCATGGCCCCTCTTGAACTCCACTATGTTTTGCTGAAATGTGGCTGCATGTGGCTGCCTTATTTTGCAACCACAATATTTCTTGATTCTACTGTTCTGTAGTGACCAATATTTTTTTAATAGAAGGATCTTGCTATAATTTGCTGAATTGAACAGTATGCAATGAAGGCCTGAAATTGTTCACCCAACACTACGCAACCTTCTACAGCAAACACGAGCCCAACCACGAGGTTGGCCTGCTTGCACGTACCCTAATCGTAGCCGTAAGATCTGACCTCTTTTTCCGATCTAACGGTGAACAGTCAGATTCCTTGTCAGAGCTGTCAACCCAGCCTCATGTCTGCTCGGCCCAGTTAGCCCGACCGTGTTTCTGCCCTCCATCCAATCTGCTTGTTACGTTTATCTTTCCGTTTTCTGCTTCATTCTCCTCGTTTTGTTTATTTCGTCTCGGATTCTTCGAGTCCGTGTTGATCAAGAAAGCAACTGGCGTCGAGAGTGTTGTTTGCACAGCCGTCCTTAGGGTTTGCTGTTCTGCTCCCGACTCCCGACTCCTGCTTAGCGAATTGATCACCCGCGCTTGCTGGGTTCGCACTTCGGTCTGCGGTTGTACTAGCAAACTCTCTCGCATCCTTTCACCTTAGTAGTTTGCCAGCGATTGACGATTTGCTGATACGTCTCTTCGTCAAGAGCCATGGCGACAGCTTCAGGTGAGGCCTTTTCGCCGAGGTAGTTGCAGCTTAGATGCCAAGTTGCAAGGTAGTTGCAACTTAGATGCCAAGTTGCAAGGCAGTTGCCAGGACTTCAAGCGTTTGTCTGATACTCGTCAACAGTCAGTTTCATCGGTGGAATTGTTTTATTCCGCGTCTACCTATGTGCTTAGCAACGGGAGCCTTACCTTATGTGTTTTCCCCTCTTCTCCAACCACGTTTAAGTCTCCCGAGAACCTCCGGAAGCAGCAGGAGCTCGAGGAGGCTCGCAAGGCGTGTTTGCATCTTTCGGAACCTTTCTTTCTTCTGAATTCTCCACTCTCCTTCTCCCTTGCTTTTTACAGCCACGTTCAAGTCTCGCGAGGACCACAGGAAGCAGCAGGAGCGCGAGGAGGCTCGTAAGGCGGTCCTGCATCTTTCTAAACATTCTTCCTTCTTCCAACCCCCCTTTTACAGCCACTTTCAAGTCCCGAGAGGACCACCGGAAGCAGCAGGAGCTCGAGGAGGCTCGTAAGGCGGGTTTGGCGCCAGCTGAACTCGACGAGGATGGCAACGAGATCAATCCCCATATTCCCCAGTACATGTCCTCGGCGCCGTGGTACCTTAACGCCGAACGACCCGTGAGTACTTTTTGAGGGGGGATGGAAAGGGGAAGGGGAGGAGGTTGAAGGAGGGGGGGGGGGGGGGGGGGGTGGGAAGCGAGAAATGAGGGAGAGGAATAATAGCAGCTAAAAGATCAATTCTCATATTCCCCAGTACATGTCCTCGGCGCCGTGGTACCTCAACGCCGGATGACTCGTGGTTTGTTGCTGAAGCAGGGCCTGGTGGTAACACGCCTGGTGGTAAGACGCCTGGTGGTAACACGCCTGGTAGCACGCCTGGTAACACGCCTGGTAACACGCCTGGTAACACGCCTGGTAACACGCCTGTTAACACGCCTGATAACACGCCTGGTAACACGCGTGATAACAGGCCTGGTAACACGCACATGGTAACACTAACTTCTGTCCAATCCACCTGTTGTGTGACCGTGAGCAGAGCTTGAAGCATCAACGGAACTGGAAGGGCGAAGGGAACCACACCAACCAGTGGTACGACCGAGGAGCCAAGGGCTTCCAGGCCGAGAAGTACCGCAAGGGCGCCTGCACCAAGTGAGTATCACCCCTTAAGACGCTGCTTGGTTCATACCCCCTCCTCTGGTACTGTAGCTCTGTTGCTAGAAACACCAACCGGTGGTACGATACGGCCAAGGGGCCAAGGGCTTCCAGGCCGAGAAGTACTGCAAGGGCGCGTGCACCAAGTATGTCCTCAAGGGTGCCTGCACCAAGTATGTCCCCAAGGGCGCCTGCACCAAGTATGTCCCCAAGGGCGCGTGCACCAAGTATGTCCCCAAGGGCGCCTGCACCAAGCGGCCAACGGCTTCCGGCCTGCGGGTTTGACGTGGTGAAGTTTTCAACCTGCGTCAAGCCCCCTGCTTTACTCTCAGCTGTGGCGCCGTGACCCACACTGCAAAGCTACGTGTGGAAGCGGCCTTACGGGGTGGGCAGAGCTGTGAACAGTGAATTTCCATTATAAGGCAAGGCACTCACCTCTCTCCTCCCTCCCTCCCTCCCTCCCTCTCTCCCCTCTCTCTCCTCCCCTTTGGCCCATCAGCTGTGGCGCCATGACCCAAACTGCCAAGCTGTGCGTCGAGCGGCCGAGGAAGGTGGGCGCGAAGTGGACGAGCCAGAGCATCTCAGCCAATGAGAAGATCCAAATATCTCATCTGCCTGTCTTGCTCTCCCCCCCCCCCCCCCCCCCCTCCCCCCCCTCTCCAACTTACTATCAGCTGTGGAGCCATGACTCATACGGCAAAGTTATGTGTGGAGCGGCCGAGGAAGGTGGGCGCCAAGTGGACGAGCCAGAGCATTGCTGCAGACGAGAAGATCCAATCGATCGAGCTCAACTACGAGGGCAAGCGCGACAGGTGGAACGGATACGACGCGGCGACGTACAAACGCACCATGGACTCGTATGACATCCGGGCGGAAGCAAGGAAGAAGTTTCAGAAGGAGCAGCAGCTGAAGAAGCTGGCGGGGAAAGGGGGCGAGGGGGGAGAAGGAGGGGGAAAGGAGGGGGGAGGAAAGGAGGGAGGGGAGGAGGGAGGGGAGGAGGAAGAAGAGGAGGAGGAGGATGATGCGAAGGTGGACGAGAGTAGACAGATGGATTTCGGGAAGGTGGAGAAGCGTGTGAGGACCACTGGTGGTGGTAGCACGGGATCAGTCCGGTACGTAGCACCTTCTTTACATCACAGAATGCTCAGTTGTCAGTCAGTTTGGATGAGAGCCGGCAGGCAGTCAGTCTGGATGAGAGCCGGCAGGCAGTCAGTCTGGATGAGAGCCGGCAGGCAGTCAGTCTGGATGAGAGTAGACAGATGGATTTCGGGAAGGTGGAGAAGCGTGTGAGGACAACCGGTGGTGGTGGTGGCAGCATGGGATCAGTTCGGTACGTTACATGTAGCACCTTCCTTACATGCCTCAGAATGCTCACTTGTCTTCGCTACAGTCAGTCAGTCAGTCAGTCAGTCAGTCAGTCAGTCTGGACGAGAGCAGGCAGGTGGGCTTTGGAAGGTGGAGAAGCGAGTGCGGACCACCGGTGGTGGCAGCACGGGATCAGTGCGGTATGTATGACCAGCTTTCCATGGCAGTTCAGATTATAGGCATAAGTGTTTACACTACTTGCTGTAGACAAGTAAGACAGCAAGTACACACCGAAGTTTCTTCTTCTGAATCTGGACGTAGACTTGGCCTATTACGCCCCGAAGGCGCACTCTCCACGCGAGAGCACCCCAACCCTGAGGGCAACGCCAAGGACAAGTTCTACCTGGGAGACAACCACAACCGCATCAGCAGCCAGGCCTTAGAATTCCGCCAGCTCACCTGCTTTCCTTCCCTCACCTTATCCCTTCCCTTCCGCTCTCCCGACCCCCAGAAACCTGCGTATCCGCGAGGATACAGCCAAGTACCTGCTCAACTTGGACGTGGACTCGGCCTACTACGACCCGAAGACACGCTCCATGCGAGAGGACCCCAACCCCGAGGGCGACGCCAAGGACAAGTTCTACCTGGGGGACAACCACAACCGCATCAGCGGGCAGGCACTGGAATTCCGCCAGCTCACTGTGCACGCATGGGAAGCGATGGAGAAGAGCAACGTGGACGTGCACCTGCAGGGGGCGCCTAGCCAGGCCGAGCTGCTGCACCGGGAGTTTAAGGTCAAGAAGGAGAAGCTGACGGGGGCCAGTAAGGAGTCGGTGCTGGCTAAGTATGGGAATGCGGCGAGTAATGGCGGGAAGGGGAAGGGCGGGGAGGAGGAGGGGATCCCGGAGGAGCTGCTGCTGGGGCAGACGGAGGTGCAAGTGGAGTACGACCGCGCTGGGAGGCCGCTGAGAGGAGTGGTACGTAGTGGTATAGTGACTTTCATAACAGGTATGTTGTGGTACAGCTGCTGCTGGGGCAGACTGAGCTGCAAGTGGAGTACGACCGCCATTATACAGTAGCCTGGGTAGTTCTTAAAACAGGCACTGTAGGTTGTGATTCAGTGTGGCCGCGTGGGCTGGCCTCTTAGAGGCGTGGTACTTATAGAGACGCTCATAGCAGGTGCGTTGTGGTACAGCTGCCTATGCTATTCCTGAGGGGCATTGGAGGAGCTGCTGCTGGGGCAGACGGAGGTGCGAGTGGAGGTACGACCGCGCGGGCCGACCTCTCAGAGGCGTGGTATGTTCTTATGTGATCTCTTACAGGTGTACCCTGTAGGTGACGTGAACCCCAACCTCCCTTCGCGCTCCTCTCTCCTTTCCCCTTCTCTTCCCGTCCCTGCAGGACAAGGCTGTCCCGTGCAGCAGGTACGAGGAGGACGTGCCGATCAACAACCACACGGCCGTGTGGGGCAGCTGGTGGGGTGCTGGCGTGTGATTCCCTCTGACCCTTTCCTTCCCTTGTCCCCACTCTTGTCCTCTTCTTTCCAGGACAAGGCTGTCCCGTGCAGCAGATACGAGGAGGACGTGCTGATCAACAACCACACGGCTGTGTGGGGCAGCTGGTGGGGCGGGGGCGTGTGGGGCTATGCGTGCTGCCACCAGACCACCCGCATGAGCTACTGCACGGGCGCCAGCGGCATTGCTGCTGCTGAAGCGTCGGCTAACCTCATGCAGGCGAATATGGAGAGGAGGGAGCAGATGAAAGCTGCTCAAGGTGCGTTGTTGGGAATGCATGTGTATGTGTGTGTTAAGGTGTGCAGCTAGCGGCATTGCTGCTGCTGAGGCGTCGGCTAGCCTCATGCAGGCGAATATGGAGCGAAGGGAGCAGATGAAAGCGGCTCAAGGTGCGTTGGGGATGAATCCACTCAGCTGAAGGTGCATTCTGGTGGCTATGAGGTGATGCTAAGGTGCGTGTATTGAGGTGCTGGTGTTCTTGTGGCTACGTGTGCTGCCACCAGACGAAGGCCGCTAGAGGGGCGTGAGGGCGCAGCGTTGGGGACGAATATACGCACAGCTAGAGGGGCGTGAGGGCGTCAGCACAGCTGAAAGTGCGCTCTGGTGGGTACGAGTGCTGCTAATGTGCGTGTATTGAGGTGCTGGTGTTCTTGTGGCCATGCGTGCCGCCGCCACCAGACCACCCGCACCACCAAACAGGAGCTACTGGCGTTTGCTGCTGCTGAGGCGCTGGTCAGATCCGCTGAAGTGCATTCGTTTTTAGGAGTCTAGTTTTGAGGTGCCTCAAAACTAGCTGAAGTGCATTCGTTTTTCCCTTGCATTTTTTCCAAATGTGCAGAAGCCGAAGGCCTCCAGGGCGAGGATGGGGAAGGGGCGGAGGAGGGAGCAGGGAGGGCGAAGCACGGTGAAGAGAAGAAGTCGGGGGCATGGGGCACAGACTTGGATTTGGACGTACATTCATTCTCCCTTCCCTTCCATCTCGCCTCCTTATGTGCAGAGGCTGAGGGCTTGCAGGGTGAGGATGAGTTTTGAGGCGCCTCAAAACTAGACTCCTATCATGCGGATTCATCCTCCCTTCCCTTCCATCTCGCCTCCTAATGTGCAGAGGCTGAGGGCTTGCAGGGCGAGGATGGGGAAGGGGCGGAGGAGGGAGCAGGGAGGGCGAAGCACGGAGAAGAGAAGAAATCGGTGGTGTGGGGCGCAGACGTGGATCTGGACTTGAAGCTGGATAAGAAGAAGCTCAGAGCTGCGCTCAAGAGGGTATGTGTGGGTTGGGAAACGTATGCATGCTTGTGCATGAAGAAGGATCAGGGAGGGGTTGGGGGGGGATGGGCTTGGAATGTGAGCGATAGGAAGCGAGGACATGTGAAGTTGGCCGCATGCGAACACATGCATGCATGTGCATGAAGAAGGATTGGTGGGGGGGGGAGAATGGGCTTGGAATGTGTGTGACTGGAAGCGAGGACATGTGAACTTGGCTGCATGGGGGCTCGTCTGTGTGCCCCGAGGAGGTAAAGGGAGAACATTCTTTTAGGGTTCTGTTTGTCTGTATTGCTCTTTGACATGTCTCTCCATGGGTGGCATATATCAATGTATGATTAATTTACATGTGAGTTTTTAATGATTTTTTTTCCTGTTGTGCCAGGAGGAGGAACTGGGAAGAGAGGAGAAGGATGAGCGCAAGCGCAAGTACAACGTCACGTATTCTGACGATGTAAGTTTCCCGTTTGCTCTTTAAGTCACACCCTCCATGTTCATTACTCTCGGCAGAGCTGGCCGCTTCTCATGTGCTGTATGCTTCGTCTGTTCTTGTCCCCATTGTTCGTCTGTTCGTGTTTCCGAGCAGGCATGCTCGCACATTCTCACTGCCATGTTGGTGTCTCCTCCACCCAACCCAACCAACCCAAATGCCGATGTCCAACATATTTTTTGCCCTTCTTGCCCATAGGTGACGGAGGAGGACATGGAGGCTTACCGAATGAAGAGAGTCCATGCTGATGACCCGATGCTTGCTTTCCTGGGCAAGGACGAGGACGACAATGTCTAGTTGCTAAACATGCCATGTAACATTTTACTACATTGCTAGAAGAGTGGTGTGTGGATGAATGGCACACCTTAAGTGTATGTGATTACCGATGCCATCATGACTACTGGTGCCCTTGGCTATCTTACCCCTGCTCGTCACTCATCTTTGTAGCATTTCTATTTTGACAATGAAACATGATCAGGGTATAAGCCGAAAGTGAGAGTTTAATCACATTATAGTATGTAGCTAGTGTACTGACTCGAGGATGCGCGAAGCGAGCAATGTTGAGCTGCCATAACCCCAAACCTCGGGATTACCTCATCTCTTTGCTCCGCACTTTTGCTCTCCCCTTTCCTCCCCTCCTCCCCCATCCCTCCACTCCTTGGGATTCAGCACATTTCTGCCGTTATCCTCGATCCGTGCTTTCTAGTGACAAGTTACTGGACGTCAGACTTGTTGCGCGTCTTTCGACGCTTTTCCTCAGATCCTGTCGTCTTGATTTAGCTTGTCCGTGGTTCCCGTAACCACGCCTTCTGCGAGCAACCCAAAAGCCGTTCATTCGCAGCGTTAGGGTTATGGCTGACGACGAAAATGTTCCGACCGTCTCAGAGGTGATTGGAGCAATCTGGCTCACCCGAATCTTCTCTTTTCGTAGGCATTTATCGTCGATTTCACATTTCGACTTTACGCTTCCATTCATTCCGACACTCTCGAAGTCTGCATGGATTTCGGTCGGGGGGTTCGAACAGGCTACGCAGAGGCTTTCCCGCATCATGCCATGCAGAACGGCTTGTGTGATTCTCGTGTTAAGCTGAGACCCCCGTTTCCTAGTTTTCTCGTCGTCATCCGGGTATTAGGTCAGAGGCGTTTAGGCTAGCCTAGTCGAAGAGCTCGTGTTTCCAATATAAAGCTGAGATCCATGGTCTCCTGTTCTCCTTCTCGTCTTCCGCGATTCAGGTTGGGTCGTTCGATCTAGCCAAGAAGAAGAAGAAAAAGAAGAAGGATCGATCCGCGGAAGAGGAAGCCGCTGACGTGGCCGAGGTGTCTGAGAAGGTTGAAGGGTTGTCAGGTAGGATCCGTTTAAGATCAGTTAGATATAAGATGAGAGTGACGCTAGCGCGCCATCTTATGTCATTAAATGTGTCCCTTCCGACTTCTCACCTATCCCGCCTTTTCGATGAGCTGGGTGTTGGTCATATTTGCGGATCGGATCATTTCCCTCGTCGAAAATTCTGCTCGGGGTTTCAAGTTCGCCGCATTCCTCCTTAAGCGTGTTCCCCTTTTTTTTTTCTACATTTCGCTGATTGCAGTTGAGGACTCCGTCGAGACTGTGGATTTCGGGGCAAAGAAGAAAAAGAAAAAGAAGCCGCAGGTAGGCTCGAGGCTCAAGAGTTCGACGAGAACCCAACAATTGTGTAGACATGTGAGCAGTCAAGGGCTCCGTCGAGGCAGTGAATAGAAAAGAACTGAAGAAAGAAGAAGAAGCCGCAGAGTCAGAGAGAACAAAAAAACTGATGAAACAGGTGAGCATTCGAGGAATCCGTCAAGTCTGTGGTGCTAGTGCAAAGGAAACGAAGAAGAATAAGCCGCAGGTAGGTTCGGGCCTTTTCGTTCCCTCTCCTGTTTTTGTTTTTTGGTGAGAAGACAACGGGGAGGGAGCAGCAGGAGGAGACTTCGAAGGCCCGGATACTCTCATGTTCATTTTTTCTTTTTTTGTGTTTTTTTTTTTTCTGCCCATATAGTCTGGTGGGGAGGCAGTGGACGGCGAGAAGGAAAAGGAGGCGGCGGAGGAGAGAGCAGCTGCAAAAGCCTGGAGCCGAAAAAAAGAAAAAGAAAAAGAAAAAACTAATGCTTAAGTCACCTTATAATACCTATTATATAAAAAATACTTGAAGCCAATTATCAAAAGCCCCTTCTCCTCTGTTCCGTTTTCCTGCATCTTTTCTGCGTTGCAGACTGACGGAGAGGCCGCGGATGGCGACAAGGCAGAGGAGGCAGGCGAGGAGGGAGCGGCAGGGGAGGATGGAGAGGGCTTGGAGCTGAAGCTTCAATGTTGTATTTCCCCATTCTCCTCCCCCACCTCCTTTTGTTTCGTAGGCTGACGGAGAGGGCGCGGATGGCGAGAAAGGAGAGGAGGCGGGTGAGGAGGGAGCGGCAGGGGAGGACGGAGAGGGCTTGGAGCTGAAGCTTGAAAAGAAGAAAAAGAAGAAGCCGAAGCAGAGGACGGAGGAGGAGGTGGTGGAGGCTGAGGAGCACGCCAAGGCGGAGGCGGAGGAGGAGGAGGAAGAGGAGGAGGAGGCGGCGGGCGAGGGGGAGGAGGACGAGGAGGCGGAGGGGATTGAATTGGGAGGCCCCACCAAGCTGCCGTGGGAGGGGACGGACCGGGATTACAAGTATGAGGAGGTGAGTTGATCTGTTGTCACACTCACGGGTTGAGTTGAGAGTGAGGGTGCGATAGGGGGTGCTGGAAGGGGCACTCAATCAAATCCCAGTATGTTGCTGTGGGAGGGGGCGGACCGGGATTACAAGGATGAAGAAGTGAGTTGACGTCTCACACGCAGGGGTTGAGCCTTTGAACCATGTGTTACCATGTCTCCCATATACGCACCCCTGCTGTACGCTGCTCCCATGCGTCCTCCCTTGTCTCCTGTTTTCAACCCACCCCCCCCCCCCTTTTCCTCCCCCCTCCCTTCCCCCTCTCCCGCCGTCCTCCTCTTGCCCCTACCCACAGCTCCCGGGTCGTGTCTTCAACATCCTGAGGGAGAACAACCCCGAGCTGGCTGGAAGCCATGTGCCACAATGACTTACCAACTGTCTCCTGTTCCCCTCCCCCCTCCAACCACCCCCCCCCTCCCCCCCCCGCCCCCCACAAACACACCCGCACTCACAGCTCCTGGGCCGTGTGTTCAACATTCTGAGGGAGAACAACCCTGAGCTGGCTGGAGACCGCCGCCGAACCATCATGCGCCCTCCTCAGGTGTGCAAGACAAGCCTCCTTAAATTTCAAATCACACCGACAGACACTGACAGAGGCGTAATTTTCAAATTTGTGCAAGATTGGTTCCATAACACACCAGCATACATTGCATGCACACGTGCGTTCGTTCGCCTGCCACCCCCCCACCTGCCCCCCACACTCCTTCCCCCCTTCCCCCCTCCCCACACACACACACACTCATCCACACACACATTCACGCACACACACGTTCACGCACACACACGTTCACGCACACACGTTCACGCACACAGACGTTCACGCACAGACGTTCACGCACACACACGTTCACGCACACACACGTTCACGCACACACACGTTCACGCACACACACGTTCACGCACACACGTTCACGCACACAGACGTTCACGCACACACACGTTCACACACACACACGTTCACGCACACACGAAACACTATCATGCATCACTCACCTCTTCCACTGATCACGTCCGCCCCTCTGCGTGCGTGCAGGTGCTGCGAGAAGGAACCAAGAAGACAGTCTTTGCCAACTTCATGGATCTCTGTAAAACGTGAGCGCCCCAGCCCGTCTCTGCTGTTTCCGATTGCGTCATGTTTTGTTTTTTCCTTTTTCCGACATCCTTCACCCCACCTTTACCTCTTGCACCTACCCACATGGCTTACCACTTCGTACCCCTCATTACTGCATTCAACCCTTCTCAGCAAACACTGGCAGCCAGAGAGCACTTGATGGCGTTCTTGCTAGCTGAGCTGGGTACCAGTGGTTCTCTGGACTCCTGTTGGTGCTTCCTCACTGTTTTGCACCCATCCCCCCTGCTTTTAACCCCTCTCCACCCCGTGCCACCGCTCTCCACTCCGCTTCACCGCAGAACGCACCGGCAGCCGGAGCACGTGATGGCGTTCCTCCTGGCTGAGCTAGGAACCAGTGGATTTCTGGTCTCTCATGGATGGCTCTTCACCACGTCCAATCCATCCCTATTCCGTTCTACCCCTCTTCACCACATTCAACCCATGTTACCGCAGCATGCACCGGCAGCCGGAGCACGTGATGGCGTTCCTGCTGGCTGAGCTGGGTACCAGTGGTTCTCTCGATGGCCAGCAGCGGCTGGTGGTGAAGGGCCGATTCGCACCCAAGAATTTTGAGGGTATTCTGCGGCGATACGTCAGTGAGTGTTCTCCTGAAACCCCACTGTGACGCCCCTTGGGTCAATAGGCGTTCTGTACTGATGGATGGCTGGTTGGCACTGGCTGGTGCTGAAGGGACGGTGGTTCGCCCTTCAGTGCGTGTTCTAAAGGCTTGATTCTGTTGCCCTTCAGCTGCGATTTGTCAGTGACTATTGTTTGACGGGAAACTGGGAGCGTTTTTTGTCAAGACAGCAGTGAGGCTGTCGCGTTTCTTTGTCGCGTTTTTTGTAGCCCTCCGCTTGTTACCACCAACCGAAAGGATACTAAAAAACGCTCTGGCATCGATTCGTCAGTGAGCAGGGAGCGTCCTTTGTTAAGACAGCAGTGAGACTGTCGCATTGAGGTTTCTGGCACTGGCAGCCCTCCACTTGTTAACACCAACCGAAACAGATGCTCCTTCTGATCTGACTGACCACCCTCCCTGCCGTCCCTTCTGTGTCCGTGGCTCCCTCTCCCCATTTTGATGCGTGATGCCTGCAAGTCTCCTTATCATCTCCCTTGCACTTAGCCTCCCGTATTTCGATCAAAAGCTCTCTTATCTGTTTCTTATTGCTATGTTTCCCTTCCTCCCCCTCTCCCCCCCTCCCCCCCCTCTTCCTTCACCCCCTTCTTCCACAGACGAGTACGTGATGTGCAATGGCTGCAAGTCGCCAGACACCATCCTCTCCAAGGAGAATCGCCTCTTCTTCCTGCGATGCGAACAGGTACACTTCTATTTATACGCATGATATCCCCCCTTTATGCACAGGAATCGCCAGACACCATCCTAATGTGGACCTTGCTTTCCTTCACAACTTAAACGTAACACCCCCATCCCCTGCTTTCCCTCGCCTCCCCTTAGTGTGGCTTGTATTGCTCAATGGACGAATCCAGTTCCCTCACTTTCCCCCTTACCCCCAACCTCCCTGCCTTCCCTCTCCCTCCCTCAGTGTGGGTCGCATCGCTCTGTTGCGCCCATCAAGGCTGGTTTCGTGGCTTGGGTTGGTTTGGACAAATCCAGTTCCCTTACTTCCCCCCTTACCTCCCACCCCCCTGCCTACCTTGTCGCTCCCTCAGTGTGGGTCGCATCGCTCCGTTGCGCCCATCAAGGCTGGTTTCGTGGCCCGGGTTGGCCGTCGCAAGGCTGTCAAGGCTTGATAGCACATATCTGGCCTCGTTTTCGTATACTTGTAGTAAAAGGTCCTTACCTCTCGATTCAAGTGCAAAGCAATTACACAGGAACCGTTTTTGTGGCTTTGTGTTTTGTTGGCGGTCAATGGGCAGCTATACGTGCTCTATACGATTATGTACTTGGTCAAATCAGAATGTTAGCAGGGTTCATTTGTAAGCTCACCCACAAACATGTTCGAGTGGTTCTGGTATTCTATTGACTTGTGAGTCCGTGATCCGGCGGGCAAACGCGTGCAGATTCTCGCATAATATCGCGTATAAATTTTTAGCCTGCAGCAGGCGCCAGCAGCCACAAATATCCCCAGCCTGTTCAAACCGCCATGCCATTCATAAATCCAGCGACTACTGCTGAGCCGATCGCTTTCCTACGTCACGCTCTCGTTTGTCCTTCGCTGCCTAGACATGAGCGGCTTGGGAGTCAGAATTAGAAGTTTCTGCAGCCAGACACTTTATAACGCGTATCTCGACGGGACACCTGTGCTCACGTCTCGGCTGACCACTATCGCTCAGGGCAGTCTCCACCGCCTATCTTGCAACTACCTCGAGATCTCCGCCGTTCGTTTACCCATGGACAAGTTCCACGTGTCGAGATCTAGACCGTGTGCGAATTTCGTCCCAGCTACTCCAGGGGGGGCTACGAATGCCATTTCTATAAATGCGTTTCCCGAGCTTCGCGCCATCGGAACCAGGAGCAGCAGCAGCATCAGTGCTTCAATCACCAGTTTTGAGGCGCCTCAAAACAAGCTTCGCAGCATTAAAACTACTGTCAGCGGTATGAGCAGCAACAAAGTCGGGGTTGGAGAGCTCCGCAACACCTTACAGAGATCCCATGCTGCTGGACTTGTTGCCCTTAAAAGCAGAATCGATACTAGTTATCGTGGCAGGAGTGCCGGCCAAAGCCACAGGAGCTACAGTGTGAGCAGTGCTGGCAGTGGTAGTAGCAGTAACAGCGGTAGCAGCAGTAACAGCGGTAGCAGCAGTAACAGCGGTAGCAGTGGTAGCATCGATAGCAGCGGTAGCAGGGGCTATGTTAGCAGCAGAAGCAGCAGCGGTTCTGGTTTGGAGGAGAGTGAGAGGAGGGAGAGGCTAGTCTCTAGCAGCAATACTGACGCTGGCAGGACCATCCGTACTAACGCTGGCAGCAGCAGCAGCAGCAGCAGCAGCAGCAGCAGCAGAAGTGCTGGGAGCTACAGAAGTGCCATTGAAGGAGCTACAGTAACCAACATTTTCCACTTCAATCCAAGTAAGCAGTTCCTTCCTGCTTCCCTGTGATTGCAACCCTGTTTCTCCTCCCTCCCGTTGTGTTACCAAGTCCACCTGCCCATTCTCTCTATTATATGGAAGTATTCCCATCAATTAGCACTAATCATCCCTCTCCCTTTTTACTCCCTTCCCTCAGCCTTCGCCGCTCAGTTCGCCTGTGACCGTTACCGCGTCACCTGGCCGGCTCACTTGACCTCCTCAGAGCAATCCAAGCTGGGGAACAAGCTCGCCTACCGCCTAACTTCAGCTCTCAGCGTCCCGTTTGTGTACGTCAACTCTCATCACGCACTAGTGTGCCTGCGCAACGAGGGGGGTTATGAGCACTTAACCGAGAGCCAGCAGCTCTTAAGTAAGAGCCAGCAGCAATTTAGTGAGAGCCACTTAATGGCCGAGCTGACTCCCGAGTTACAGGGAGTCCTGGATGGGGTGAAGTACCTAGGACGGTCATGGGAGACGCGGAGTGTGTCTGGTGCTGCAGCAGATGTAACTGCAGCTCCAGCAGATGTAACTGCAGCTCCAGCAGATGTAACTGCAGCTCCAGCAGATGTAACTGCAGCTATAGCAGATGTAACTGCAGCTACAGCAGATGTAACTGCAGCTCCAGCAGATGTAACTGCAGCTACAGCAGATGTAACTGCAGCTGCAGCAGATGTGACTGCAGCTCCAGCAGATGTAACTGCAGCTCCAGCAGATGTAACTGCAGCTCCAGCAGATGTAACTGGAGCTCCAGCAGATGTAACTGCAGCTACAGCAGATGTAACTGCAGCTACAGCAGATGTAACTGGAGCTGTAGCTGGCAATGGGGCTGATGCAGCAGCAGGGACTGGTGATTGCCCCAATGAGGGCACTGTGCTGCCGCAACAGGAGCCTGCTGACTGGGTGGTGACCAGTGATGACGTGGCGAGGCTGCTGTGCTGCCAGGTGGAATTGGAGCAACAATTAGCTGATTTGGAAGGGAGTAGTAGCAGCGGCAGGAGCAGCATTAACAGCAGCGGCAGCAGAGGCAACAGTGGCAACAGCAGCAGCAGCAACGGCAGCGGCAGCAGCGGCAGCGGCAGCGGCAGCGGTGGCGGCGTCAGCGGGAGGAGCAGCAGGGATGTCACTAAATTTCTGAAGCCAGTTCCTTCCCTCTCTCCGGTTTCTCTTTTCGGGCAGCCCGGTTTGGTTATAGACATCAAGAGCAAGCGCGGAATCCCCTTGAAAGGCATCCTCGCTACAAGCTCACCCAGTAAGCTGCTCGGCGCCCTTGTGAAAACACCCTTTCGGTCCAAGGCTGCTATGATAACGGAGTGGGAGGAGCTGGGCCCAAAAACAGAGCAGCTTTATCAGTGGCTTATGCAGGTTACCTCTACTCAAGAGATCCGGGAAAGGTTTGAAAAAGCGGACCCGTCGACGGTTCTTTTCATTGTGGACGGTTTTCACTGGCTGCCCGATTATCTGGAGCTCGTCATCTGCCCGGAAAACGAGAAATTTCTGAGAGATTTGGGTTTTGATGTCAGCAGCATTGGTGCGGTCAGCTCCACAGCTCGGCTGCTTCCTGAAGCCCGATTCGCCGAGATTCAAGAGATTTCCTCCTCATTGGCCCTCAGAGATTTCGTCTGCCCAGAGCCGGTGTCCGGGCCATTTCTCAAGGTGGACTTGAGCAGGCAGAATAAAGAAGTGGGGAAAAGGTTTTTGCTGCCCGTAGACGAGCCTGTTACAGCCATTCGGAAAGCCATTCACCAGTTTGGGATGTACCAAAGCCCAGAAAAACCCCTTCAAATTGGTCTATTGTATGTGTCTCCCCCGGGTAATTCACCCGCCTTATATGCTGACTCGGAGCCGTTTATAATGGAGATGATGGCCCAGCTGCGGAAACTGGGAGTGGCGAGTGCGGAGAGAACCAAAATGCGCAAGATAGTATGGGGGCCGGTGGGGACTGTGGGGAGTTTGGAGGAAAGATTGGAGCCATCTTCAGAGGAGGAGCTGAGGCAGTTTTTGGTTCAAGAGGTGCACGTCTTGAAAGGCATGGGGGCGGAGTTTCTCGTTCTGGTGTCAGATTTCGGGAAAGGGGAGTGGGAGGAGGTTAGCGTGAGGGGGGAGGCAGGGAGGGGTGGGGGGACGGTTGCGAGGTGGGTGAGAAAGGAGAAGGCTTCGAGTGCGGCTGCTGCTGTGTGGCGGGCGCTGCAGCACGCTACTGGGGTGGATGATGCAACTGAAGATATAGACAATACCAACAGCACTGGTGGCAGCAGCAGCAGGAGTGGTGACAGCGGCGGGGGCGGGGGCGGGGCCAGGGGCAGGGGCAGCAGCAGCAGCAGCGACAGCAGCACAAGCAGCAGCAGAAGCAGCACAAGGAACAGCCCTTCGCCCGTCTTCTCTCCGCTTCCCATCTCCCCCCTTCCCTCCCACATGCTCACGCCCAACACCTTCGCGATCGCAAGCGATTCCCGCGCCTACTTCGCCTCCCTTCTCGCAGCCGCGGTGGAGCGAATCGCAGCAAAGGCAGGGGCGCTGCCCTACGTGCTCACGCCAGGGTTCGGCAAGGACACCGATTGTATCATTGGCATTGCAACGAAAGGGAGTTTGCCCGCCGCCTATGTGCCCCCCTCCCTTGGGTCCTTGAAAGCGGAGACCGATGTGTCCTTAGAAGCCGGGTCTAACACCGATGTGCCTCTAGGGAGTGGGACCACTCATTCTCTAGGCACCAGATTAAACGTGGATGAGCCCGCCATCTCATCCAACGTGGACGAGCCAGCTGTCATCTCTATCTTCGGCCCGAGGGGGGAGATGCGGAGGGCCGTTCCCGTCCCTTGTCCTGTAGCGGGGGAGGGTCTACCTGACGAGGCGCTCGAAAGGGCGATGAGTGAAGAGGACGTGAGGGGAAGGAGGGTGGTGGTGATGCGGCACGGGGCGTTCCAGGGGAGCGAGATAGTGTGCATCCAGAATGTGCTGGAGAGGGTCGATGCCCGGGGGACGTTTGTGGAGGTGGGGGAGCGAGGGAGGTGCCGGCTGTTCTGTGCCGCAACAGAGAACTCAAACTGGGGGCGTTTGGAGGCAACTCAAAGGGAAGGGGAATTTTCCGATAGGCACTTGTCTGCTATTGGGTCGGTGGCAGCAGCATGGGAAGACGCGTTCTTTCCTCTCAGCGCCACCAGCGCAGCATTGGTAGCTTCCACGATAGCCAGGGGCATGCCCCAGCCCCTCACGGTGGACGTACGGGTGAACGATCTCGGGCTGTCCCTTCACGAGGTGGTTGAAATCGTTGCTGGGATGAGGAGAGTGCAGCATGGGGGCCTGGGGAAAGCGAAACTGCCTGCAGGGGTGCAGTGGGCGGACAAGAAGGCTGCCTTCTGAGAGATTGCTCTAGGATCCAGAGGGGCATGCCCCAGCCCACTATGATCGCCAGAGGCATTCTGCAGCCCCTCACAGTGGACGTACCGGTGAATGAACTTGGGTTGACTCTAGACTAGAGCAGGCAGTGGTGATGGTGGGTGGGATGAGGCAGGTGCAGCATGGGGGCCGGGGGCAGGCGAAACTGCCAGCAGGGGTGCAGAGGACGGACCGAACGGCCTGTGGTGAGACAATCAATTCGCTCTTGAGAATTCTCAAAAACAAAACACATCCTAGCTGTGGTGAGACGGTCACTTCGCTCCAGCCTTAGCCCTGTTCTCTGGAACGGGTGGTGGCGAGGCGATGGTTGCTGGGCACAGCATGCCAGCCCAGGGAAAGTGAAACTGCCAGCAGCGGTGCAGAGGAAAGACAAGAGCAGCATGTGGTGAATCCAGGATGATAGAGACAGAAATAAGGTACCATGGTATAGTGTGGCAGGTCTCATTTGGGGTGATGCCAGGCAGGAGAATGCTCAGGCGACTGGTTGCCAATAGAGCATGTTACAGGACATGTTAGAGATCTCTCCGTGTAAGGTGTCTCAAGAAAACCAGATTTGGTATTTTCTTTTGTTTCTGGCATTATTTGTTCTATTTCCTAGCTTATCCGGAGGTACATGTTAAAGACCTGCAAAATTACACCAGAGGGTAACATGCTGGTAACCCGTTTTAGACCACTAGCTGAACGTTCTCCAGCTGCCCTGCAAGCTCGTCAAACTGGGAGGGGAAAAAAAAACAAGCAAGGCAGCAAAATTGGAAATAAATAAACAAAAGAAAAAAAAATGGAGGCAAATGCGGGTGGAGACAGGCGAATGGAAGATTCAATGAGAAAGACAGGCAAAACAGGCAACCAGACAAGCACCAAAGCACCCATCAAACACATTACTTACCTTGAGAAAGTGTGTTCCATAAAATCGTTTCCGAACCACCAAAAGCTCTCGTTTTGAGGCACCTCAAACAACGCAAGGCATCCACACAGGCACCCGAACACACACCCAAACCCTGCACTATCCCAACATCCATTAAGCACGCTTCGCAGCACTACAGAACCCTTCGAGGACGAGCTTGATGAAGTAGTCTCCAAACCCCATGCTCTCATTTTAAAGCACACCTCATATAACAACACTACAGTACCTTGACGACGTGCTGGATGATGTAGTCCCTAAACCGCCGAGTGGTCTTGCTTCGAGGAGCATCAAACCGTGCAAAACCCCATCTAAACCTGCAGTGAACTCGCCTCAAACCACTTGTCCTTGTGGATGTGCTTTGATAATGTAGTCCCCAAACCGCCGAGTGGTCTTGCTTCGAGGATCCTCAAAGCAGACAATGCATCCCAACACCCACAACGTGTTTGCCCCACAGGTGATTTTTAGTCGACTCAAAAACCACCAAACACCCAGTACACGTTTGCCCTGCGGGCCACAGCACTACGATAGAGTACCTTGATGGCGTGCTGGATGACATCGTCCCCCAACTGTCAAGTGGTCCTGTTTCGAGGCGCCTCAAACCCACGCAAACCCCCCCTTAACCCCGACCTAAACCCCCGCCTAAACCCCTGCCTAAACCCTCAGCAAACACACCCCACAGCACAGCATTGCAGTACCTTGAGGATGTGCTTTATGAAATAGTCTCCAAACCGCCGAGTGGTCTTGCTGTCGACCACTTGCACAAGGTCCTGGGAGTTGGCAGGCAGGAAAGGGAGGGGGAGAGGGGGGGGAGGGGAAGGGGGAGGAGAAGAGGGAGGAGAAGGGGGAGAGGAATGGGGGGGGAAGGGGGAGGGGAAGGGGGAGGGGGGAAGCGAAACAGTGAGCCTGGATGGCTGTCTTGCGGTCGACCACTTGCACCAGATCCTAGAAGATGGCAGGCGTGGGGGGAGAGGAATGGGGAGGGGAAGGGGAAAGGGAGGGGGGAGGGGGACATGATGGGTCTGGGAACCTCCCTTGCGGTCGACCACTTGCACCAGATGCTGGGAGATGGCAGGCAGGGGGAGGGAGGGGGGAGGGGGAAGGGAGGAAGGGGAAAAGGGGGAGGGGGAAGTGGGCCAGGAAGGGGAAGGGGAAAGGGAAGTTTTTGAGAATCCTCGAAAACACCCTGCAAAATCACGTGTGCTTTGCCTGGGGATGCTTTGATGTGCCTGGGAGCCTTTCTTGCGGTCGACCACTAGCATGAGGTGTGGAGGTAGGGAGGAGGGAAGAGCTAGAATATGCGACTGCTGACATCATACCATGCACATGCTGACATCATCCCATGCACTGGTGGCATCATCCCATGCCCCGCTTACATCATCGATGTAGAAGTCCAGCTCAGCGTTGGGCAGCACAGAGCCATCCGCCTCAACGACCGTGTTCTTATGGCGAAGGGTGATAAGAGCGGTCCTGGAAACAAAAGGAAAGCATGGTGCAGAGTGGTGCCAAGGTGTGGAGAGGTGTGGAGAGTGGTGCAACAGAGTGGGGAAGCAGGTCGTGAGAACGAGTGAGAGCGTTGGGCAGCACAGAGCCATCCGCCTCAACGACCGTGTTCTTATGGCGAAGGGTGATACGAGCGGTCCTGGATATACAACAAATGGCACCCTCACACGCATACGCACACATACGCATACATATGCACACATACGCACAAACGATTAAGAACACAAGATATAGCTATAGCAGTGAAGGCTTCATAAACGTGCATGAGAGGATGGGAGCGCAATGCTGAAAGTTATGGGACAGCTGGCAAAGGGTGGAGTTAGAGTTATGAGGAAGGTTGGCCAAACATTATGGGACAGCTGGCAAAGGGTGAGTGGAGTTATGAGGTAAGGTTGGCAAACTTCCTCATAATGTTTGGCAGGTCCGTAAAACAGTGCGATAGAAGTCTATTTGTGAGGCGCCTCAAAAACCGTGCGAAGCTGGAGATTTGTGAAAACAGATGAGTAACTCATCAGACATTTTAAGTCATCAGACTCAAAAGACAAATTGTGAAAACAGATGAACAACTCATATGCCCCAAAACCTGAGAACACCTGCTGCTTCACCTGAGCGTGGACTCGGAAACATCCAGGAAGGTGGAGAGGCGGGGGAGGGAGATGGCGGAGTAGAGTGACAGTGCCGACCGCAGCCCTGGCAATGCGAGCTGGGAGCGCACGTCCGCAAGGAAGAGCTTCAGCTGCAGGCGGTAGGCGTCCTGGTGGGGGGTGGTGGTGGGAAATGGTGGGAGAGGTGGTAGCAGAGGTAAGAGATGGCAGAGTATAGCGAGAGCAACGATCGCAGCCCGGGGAGGGCGAGCTGGGAGCGCACGTCGGCCAGGAAGAGCTTCAGCTGCAAGCGGTAGGCGTCCTGTTGAGGTGGGGGTGGGGGATACGGGGCGATTTGGGAGCAAGAAGGAGAGGTGTGGGAGGGAGATGGCAGAGGGCAGCGAGAGCACGGATCTCAGCCCCGGGAGGGCGAGCTGGGAGTGCACGTCTGCAAGGAAGAGCTTCAGCTGCAGGCGGTACGCGTCCTGTTGCGGTGTGAGGTATGGGGAAGAGGCGGCGGAGAGTTAATTGTGTTTTGTTTTTGAGAAAAAAAAAAAAAAAAAACAAGACACATGTGAGGCGTTGGGAAGAGTGCTTCTGAGGCGCCTCAAAGGAAGAGGCGGCAGAGAGTAAATTGCAGGGAAGGGAGATGGCTGAGGGGAGAGACAGTGCGGATCATATCAGAGACCCAGGAGGGCGAGCTGGGAGCGCACGCCCGCCAGGAAGAGCCTCAGCTACATGCAGTAGGCGTCCTGGTTGGGAGATGGAGGAGCGGAATGGGGGACGAGAGGAAGGGGTGGGGACGGATGGAGGGCGGAGGCGGATGCATTTTGAGTCGACTCAAAAGGGGCGGATGGAGGGCGGAGGCGAATGGGGAGGAGGAACGGGTTTAGGAGGGTGTTTTTGAGAATTCTCAAAAACACCCCGCAAAATCACGGGTTTAGGAGGAGCTTTGAAGTGCAAATTTACTGCAACCCCCCACTAGCCAGCTGATTAGCTGTATAAATCTTTATCATATTTTTGATGTGTTTTCATCTACAGTAACGAGGATGCACCTCTTGGTGTTTTGGTCCTTCTTTAACCCTTTAGCAAACGCACCTGGTTGTAGTTAACCAACTCGCCCCCATCCTCGACCGGAGGGGCAGGCGTGACAAACTTCGGGCAAGCGAACGAAAACAGCTCGTCAAACACCGATTCGTCGCCGCGCTGCATCCGCTGGATCTTGTCCGAAAACTTTTCGCGCAGCTGCCCGTTGACGCTCTCCTCCAGTAATTTCCCGTTCGGGCAGAGAGCGAGGCAGATGGCGAGGAGAGCATACATCTGCTCGGTTTTTTTTAGGATCTGGTCGTATTGGGGCAGCGTCTCGTGGTACTGCTTGGCCTTGGAGAGCGTTAGGAGCACCTGGTTGAACGCCCTTATGGCGTCCACGTACCTGTGGGGGAGTGTGTGGGTGGGGGGGGGGGGAGGGATGGAGGGAAAAGGAAGGTTCCAGGAAGGTGGGCACAAGGAAAAGGACAAGGAGTGGCACAGGCACACCTGGTTGAGCGCCCTTGTGCGCCCACAGGCGTGTGGTGGCCCCCCAGCAGGCAGCGCATGCGCAGCAGCCCCACGAGCGACAGGTACCCTAGGGGCAAACCCCATCCCTCCCTCACTCCCTCCCCCTCCCTTACCCCCACTCCCCTCCTCACCCCCACTCCCTCCCTTACCCCCACTCCCTCCCCCCTCCTCCCTCCCCCCTCCCTCCCCTCACCCAAAAGAAGGCTATTTCGAGAGAAAAGGCTTACCTTCGGAGCATGAGGCTGGCGAAGCCATAGTAGTACATAACGGTGATGTGGCACCCCGTGATTCGCTGGAACACGCCCGGGCGGCCAATATCAATGGGAGAGAGCTTCACGAGGCCCGTGTGGTAGTCCCCCAGCAGGCAGTGCATGCGCAGCAGCCCCACGAGCGACAGGTACCCCAGCACGCGCTCCACGTTGCTGCCGTTGCCGCTCATGTCGTAGCCCTCGGTGGCGAGGAACACCGCCGCTGCCCCGCCGTCGGAGTCGTCGTCCAGAATAGCGAGGATGTTGGACTTGGCGACCAGCGCGTGGAGATAGTTCAGCACCCCGTACACGTTCCACACCTGGTGGAGGGGAGGCGGAGGGAGGCGCGGGAAGGGAGGCGCGGGAACGGAGGCGCGGGAACGGAGGGGCGTCCAGGATAGCGAGGATGTTGGGCTTGGTGACCAGGGCGTGGAGATAGTTCAGCACTCAATAGACGTTCCAGACCTGGTGAAGGAAGGGGAGAAGGCGCAGCACGTAGGGGGTTGAACGCAGTTCCAGTCAGCGAGGGAGGAGGGGTATCCCAGCCCCACGAGCGACAGGCACCGCAGCACGCACGCGCTCCACGTTGCTGCCGTTGCGACTGGTGTGCACAATCGCACACACAGTCGCACAGTGGCACTCACAGTCGCACGTACACCCAGTCACACACACAGTCGCACACAGTGGCACTCACATTGCCGCACTGCTTAAGAGCAGCGGTTTCCTCCTCCGTGCGGCTCTTGACTCGCGCGCGGAACTGGCAGAAGGATTGGAACTGGTAGATGAACTCGTCGACCATGTCCCACAGCCACGCGTTGGGCAGCTGCACATTGAGATTGCCGAGCAGCACCACCTGGGAGTACCAGTACGAGGGGAGCGCATGGTGGGGAAGGAGGGAAGGGGGTCGGAACTGGCACAACAAGGACTGGAGCTGGTAGATGAACTCGTCGACCATGTCCCACAGCCACGCGTTGGGCAGCTGCACGTTCAAGATACCCAGGCGAACCACCTGAGCAGGGGGGGAAGAGGCGCGAGGAGCAGGGGAGAAAACTTTTGAGTCGACTCAAAAGGAGAAAGGGGCCTTTTGAGGCGCCTCAAAAGTCGTTACCCAGGCGAACCACCTGAGCAGGGGGAGAAGAGCCGCGAGGAGCAGGGGAGAAAGGGGCCAACGGAGGGAGGTAGGGTCTCAGGCGGGCTGGAACTGGTAGATGAACTCGTCGACAATGTCCCACTCCCACAGCCACACGTTGGGCAGCTGGACATTGAGATTGCCGAGTAGCACCACCTGGGAGGGCGAAGTCGGGGATCCGGATAAGAGGGACATGCAGTACGGGAGTTTGACCTCAGGCTTTCTTCGACTCGGGTCCGAATGCGCTTTCCGAACAATGTGCGCGAAGGACAAAAGCACTGTTGCTAAACCCTGGAATAGGCTACAGTAGTTCTTCCACGATTCGCATCGCTCTTTCAACGTCGTGCCAATACGCATATCTGAAACCGCGACTGAAACTTTCCGCTTATAGAAACCCTACCCGGAATAGGCGCCAGTAGTTCTCCCAGGATTCGCACCGCTGCTCCAATGTCGTGCAATTAAGCATTCTGAAACGGCGTCTGACACTTTCCGCTTATAGAAACCCTACGTGAAATATGCTGCAATAGTTCTCCCCATGACTCGCACCGCTGCTCCAAGGTCGTGCAACAACGCATTTCTGAAACGGCGACAACCATACCTGAAACAGGCTGCAGTAGTTCTCCCACGACTCGCACCGCTGCTCCAGCGTCGGCTGGAGCCGCGCGAACACGTGGCGGAAGTACAGCTCGCGATACAGCAGGCAGAACACGTGGTCGTGATCCACCACCGGCGCGATCGCCTCCGCCGTGGGCCACGGCGACTCGCTAAAGAGTCGCTGCGATAACTTGTGGAAGCTGCTCTCGTACATCTGGTGGATCTCGTACACATTGTTTTCGCGAATGTGACGGTAGAGGAACGCGACGAACGTCTTAACGACGTCGGGAACTCCGTCGTTGTCGGACGAGGCGGTCGGATCGCCGTAAGGCGCGTCGCGATCGTCTAGGTCATCGAAAGTGGGGGTTCCGCGAGTGTAGCGATCGTACGCCATATTTAGACCTTAGGTTCTTAGACTAAGAGATACACAGGCCTGGAAGCGAGACGAAACGACCTTATTTAGAGATCGGTAACACCATGTACCGAAGACGCCTGACAGAACCTAAGAACCCGAGGCGCTAAGGCGTAGAGTCTCCTCAGAGGTAAGGAGGAAGAGAGGGGGCTAGAGTGGGTGGTGGAAGGAATTCTGGGAGGACGAGACCCGATAGAAGGTGGTCGGATATGAGTTTACGATACTCCAGACCAGCTCAGTGAAAAGTGTTAGGATGAGGATCTATGTTGAGTTCATTTCAGAAAGGTGTTGTGTAAGCATGCCAAGGTCATATATCCTGCCCTAGCTTTGCATTGTCCAAAGAAGAAGAAAAAATTGGAGGCGGATTTGCGCTCGAAATAACCGCGAATATCATAATCCCTAATAATACAATGTTGCTACCAACTTATTTCACGGGACCTACTTCGTTCACAATATAACTTATGGAAGGCACTTCAGCTTGCCAAAAGTGTAGCAAATTATGGACAGGTCACTCGATAAAGGATCCGTCTGTAGAAAGAACAGGTGGTGCGCCACCAGCCGAGAGAAATTCGTGCTTCGCTTTGCTCTGTTTGCCCCTGGCTTGTTTCCGCCTCCACCCATTCTCCGCCTCTCCCTCCCCTCCCCGCCCCATTATGAACACACCACTTTTCTGTTCCCGATTCCGCCAGCTCTTCCCCCCCCCTTCTGCGCGTTCTTCCCACAGCCTTCTCCCCACCTTCCCCACTCCCCCCGCCCTTCTGCCCCTTCGGTTTCCTGCCTCCGCGCCACCGCTGCGCTGCTCCTATTTGCCTCCTAGCTGCTGCTAGTTTCGTCTCTTTTCCTTAGCCTGCACACCAGGTCGCGTCTTAGTCCTCACGTCCTCTCTCCTCCCCTTCCCTGTGGATAGTCGCTCCACCTAAGACCGTCAAAATGGTTAGTTGCGGATCCCTAGCATGCCTGGAGAGCGATGCGGGGTGTTGTTGCTCGGAAGAAAATGGCGGCCTTTCGTTGCGTTGCTCTGGACGCTAATTAGGGTTTCTTAGACAACCTTCACGACCGTGATACTTACGGAGTATTGCTGCGAAATCTAGCTCGTTCGTATTTCCTGCTCACCCGGCGCCGATCGTTCTTCGCCGTCGGATTCGATCAAACTCCTTCGTTCGCTTTTCGAAACACTTTCGTCTGACCTCCTCGTGCGGTTCGTCGCTTTTTTCTTCTTCTTCCTGATTCTTTTGCAACCAGCCGTTCCGGAGATACGTGGAGGTGGGCCGCGTGTGCATGGTCAACTTCGGCCCCATGTACGGCAAGCTCGTCGTCGTCGTCGACATCATCGACCAGAACAGGGTGAGCAGCACGCAATGACCGCGTTGACCCATTGACCTCGTCGAGCCGTTGACCGAGTTGACTTACGAGTAGGGGCCGCGTGTGCATGGTCAACTTCGGCCCCATGTAGGGGAAGCTCGTCGTCGTCGTCGACATCATCGACCAAAACAGGCTAAGCAGCAGGGGTTGACTGCGCTGACCGCGTTGACTTTGTTAACTGCGCTGACCGAGAGTTGGAAACGTTGATTGCGTTGACCGATAGGTAGGGGAGGCGTTGACAACCAACTTCTGCACCATGTACGGCAAGCTCATCGTCACTGGAGTCGAAGTTATTCATGAAACAGGGATTGCTAGAATTGCAAGACGAGAGGAACAGAGGAGATGTGGGGGAGGAAGGTGCTGCCGGCATACGCGTTAGAAGGTTGCTGCGGCGGAGATTAAGACAGCGTTACACAGAGTGCTTCAGGAGGGTGCGGGTCACGCGATTCGGTGCAGCCGCAGACGGTAGAACGTTCTGGTCAGCTGGGGAAATGCACGTTCTGGTCACGCGCGAGAGTTAGGGATCGTCGTTTCAGCTACCCAGGACCTTTCCACCTGCTGCTGCTGGCGATTGGCCGAGATTTATGGGCCCTCGGGATTGCCGTAGGAGACGAGAATGCGGATAGGAATCTCAAGAGTCGAGATTAGGACGTAGGTTTGTGTCAGAAGCAGACATGAGCAGGCACGATAACCGCCGCAGCAGAGTTATGTTCTTCGCTAAGGAGCAGAGGCATCAGCGGAACGATAGAGTAGATTCTGACCTTCTGAGCAATCTCCGCTCATCAGGGATTTGGCTAGGCGAGGGTAATAAGGGACGGCGCAGCACGGGTTATCTGATTCGACGAGGGTTTCATCTTTTTTTTAGTCGACTCAAAAATAGACTCATTACACACGGTACGGCGCAGCACGGGTTCTCTGTTTCGATTAGGGTTTCATCTATCCCGTGGATTAGGGTTTCAGCAACTTCCGTCGCGCGTAGGCCACAGGCAGGATGATCCCCGTTTTTACCTGACTATCGGTGAGAGATGCCGCGGTTTCCCTTAGAGTCTACTCAAAAGTCACCTCGTTACTATGTGATACGACACGTTATCACCTGACGACTGGTGAGAGATGCCTCCATTTGACGATAGGTTCCGCTGGCGTTGATTTTGAGGCGCCTCTAACCGAATACAAACCGCTTAGGCATTTTGCGCACGTCGGCACTTTTCAGGCGCCCTCAACTATTGACCTCCGTCTTAGCTGAAGATTCGTGGGTTATGCCGCGGTTTCCGCTCACCTTGGCATCAGTCTTCTTCCCCCCCTTCCCCCACCGACCCTTCGCCCCACCCTTTGAATACAGCAGGCCCTGGTGGATTTCACGGGCATGGAGCGCCAGCAGATTAACTTCGAACCCCCCCTCCCCCGCCCCATGCTCTCCTCGCTTGCCCCTCCCCGACGGTCTCCCGCTTGCGCCTCCCCCTACCCCTCAGGCCCTGGTGGACTGGAGCGCCAGCAGATCAACTACAAGCGCCTCTCTCTGACCGACATCACCAGGCCTTCTCCCACCCGCTCCCCCTGCTCCCCCCGCCCCCCCTATTCCCCTCTCCCCATGTTCTGGTGGATTTCACAGGCATGGAGCGCCAGCAGATCAACTACAAGCTCCTCTTGCTGACCGACATCACCAGGCCTTACCCCCAGCCCCTCCCCCCCTTCGCGTTCCCCGTGTGCCCCCCTCCCCCCGTTCCCCGTGCGCCCCCCTCCCCCCTGTCCCCTCTCCTCAGGCCCTGGTGGACTTCACGGGCATGGAGCGCCAGCAGATCAACTACAAGCGCCTCTCGCTGACCGACATCACGATCGACATTCCCAAGGCAGCTTCCAAGAAGGAGCTGCGTGCCGCCATCGAGGCTGCTGGTGGGTGGACGAGAGTTTTTGTGGTTCACTTGTCGTAGGGCTGGTGGGGGAATTCGGGTTTTTGTGGCCTAATCCAGTGGTCCTAGTTGGATTAGGGTTTGGGATGCCTCTTCCCATTTTTAGCTGGTAATAGGGCGTCTCTTTCAAACGGGCATCACCATCGGCATTCCCAAGGTCGCAATAAAAAAGGAGCTGCGGGCCACCATCGAGGCTGCTGGTGGGTGAATTGGGTTTTCAAGGGGTTCTGGGTTTATGCGGTTGCATGGCCCTCTATTTTCTGAAACCCCCCCCCCCTCAGCCATTCTGACTCCTCTGTTCAAGACAGCCTGTCCCCCCCCCCCCCTCTCTCCCTCTCCCCCTCTCCCCCTGGCTTACTCTCCCTTTCCCTTTCTCCCTCTCCCTTTCCCTTTCTTCCTCTCCCTCTCCCTTTCTTCCCCTCTCTGTTCATCGCTTAACCTTTCCTTGGACACCTTTCGTCTCCTGACGCCGCGCTCACTGGAAGATGTCCAAGGATCCTCTCTGTCCATCGCTTAGCCTTTCCTTTCCCCCTCTCGTCCCACCTCTCCTTCTCCCTTCCCCCCTCCTCTTATTCGACTCCCAAATGACGATACTCTTCTTATAAAAGTTTCAGCCTTGTCGTATGTGAGAATATACCTCTCATGCTGCCGATACACTTATGGCTGATGGGATGTCACATCCTCTCCCTCACCCAAAGCCTTAACCCCCCCCCCCCCCCCCCCCCTGTGCTCCTCCCCCTCTCTCTACGTCCGTTTGCTCGTACGACTCCCATATGATGAGATACTCAACTCAAGTTTCAGCCTTGTCGTATGTGAGGATACCCCTCATGCTGCCGATACACTCATGGCTGATGGGATGTCTTTGCCTCCTTCCCGCCCTCTCTTCCCTCTCTGCTCTCCGCTCTCACCGCTCACCCACCCGCCCCCTCTCCCCCCCTCACCACGGCCCCCCTGGCCTGCTCTCCCCTCCCCCCACGATCTCACTTGCTGGATGTTTCTCACTCCTGCCCTGTCAGAGTTGCAGGCGAAGTGGGAGGCTAGCTCGTGGGGGCGGAAGCTGTTGATCCAGAAGATGTGATAAATGATCCATCCCCCTGCGTATCCATCCTCCCCCCACCCCCCCCTCCCTTCTCTACCATTTCTTGCTGGCTGGTTTCCCCTCATCCCTGCCTCCACACCACAGAGGTGCAGAGCAAGTGGGAGGCGAGCTCGTGGGGGCGGAAGCTGTTGATCCAGAAGAAGCGGGCCGCTTTGACAGATTTCGAGCGCTTCAAGATCGCTACCGCCCGCTCTCAGGTACTGTTCATTCACTGTAGATGTTGGTGCCATTGTTCTCTGTACCTCTCTTTGTGCTTGCTCCCATGGTCTCTTCCCTCCCCCTGCCCCCCCCCCCCCCCCCCCCCTTCCTCTTGCATCCCTCTCGTGCTCAGCTTGCAGTGAACAAAGATTGATCACTGTCCCCTCGATTTTTCTTGCCTTTTGCCTGGTCTGTTCTCGCGTTCTGCAGAAAGCCAAGGCTGTGAAGAAGGCACTTGCTTGAAGATAAGAGAACAGCTGATGTATGTTACACATTTGCGACACCTGTGGCCCTCCCAGTTCAACTTGCTGGTGATTCCTCGTTTCTATTGAGTGCGTAGGGACGAGGTTGGCCAGAGCTATTAATTGAATGTATTTCAAGGTGCAAGAAAGAATAATTCTTTAACACGGTAGTGCTAGAGTTACAATTATAGCACTTAAAACAGGCTACAGTTGGAATAATTGTGTAGAGTTGAGTGTGGTTTCACTTAGGGAAACTGGATAAGTCAGCAACATTGAACTGCTGATCTGTACGGTTAAAGCCCGTAACTAAAATAGCAGACCTGGAGAACCACTTGAATTTGGTGCATTGAAATCCGACCTAGTATAGAATGGGAGACATGTTTGAGTTCAAATATGAAATTTGAGGATTGTAGAACTGAGCCGAAACGAATTCGAATTGTGCATGCTGATTGGCGGAATGACGAAAAATATCATTTCGCTAACTGTTGCGACACGATATACTCTGATGCGACTCGTACAAAATTCTGTGCATATCGCACGAAGGGCCTACGACGGTTTTAGGCGAGCGGCTTGCGCCGAGGAAATTCAGTGGCATTTTTCAAGTGATTTCCAGGTTTATGAATGCGGAATCAGGCAGAGTTCGCCTCAAAATCACTGTTCTCGTCGCAATTTCACTGTTCACAGAACCAAGTCGCATTACGCGAATTCCACTACCGCCCAGTTCTCCCGCAAACGTGTCACCAAACTGCAACGGTCAGGTTCCGCCATACAAAGACGAAAAGTTTCTGTTTGTTTCATAATCACTTAAAGCCCAGGTCCCAAGTTACAAGGCGCGAGCATTTTTGTTAACAATTTCTGTGGGGGTCTGAGTGGTTACCCTGTACAAATTTAGAACAGTGAACAAGTGGGGGGAGGATGGAGAAGGGAAGCTTGTGATTGGACGCCGGAGGAAAATGTTCAAATTATATTTTTATATAATTGTAGGCTTGGTAGTTATGCTACTAACTGCATCCTACTGTAGGGGGGACAACCCCCTTCTTGTACTTCATTCTCTTCTAGTCTACGCCCTTCTCTCTCGACACTCTCGTCCAGCTCCTAGCTAAACCCTTGGCCGCCATTTCATGGCGGCCTCCTCTGTTCTTTCTAGTTCAGGCTTTAACATGGTATCGAGAGCGGGATGCCCTTCCTGGGCCTGCTCCCCTCCGTGCTTTCCGCTGCGTTCTCGTGCGTTCGTCGCTCCTGCCGTGCCGCCGTGGCGGCCATGTCGCATGGCTGCCACGTCGAGCAGCCGTGCTGGGCTTGCCGCCCTGACGTGGCGGCTCCGCCGTTCCACCTCCCCGTCGCGCCCCTCCTGGGCCCTGCCGTGCCTCCTACCCACGTCGCGCCCCTCCTGGGCCCTGCCGTGCCTCCTAGCCTAGTCGCGCCCCTCCTGGGCCCTGCCGTGCCTCCTAGCCCAGTCGCGCCCCTCCTGGGCCCTGCCGTGCCTCCTAGCCCAGTCGCGCCCCTCCTGGGCCCCGTCCCGCCTGCTTCTCCCTCCAGTAAGCGCCGCGCCTATGGCACCGCGCTGAAGTCCTGCAGCCCCACCACAGCAGCCCCACCACCTCTCCCTCCCCTGCATCTCCTCCTGCTCCTGCCGTAGCTTCTGTCTTCGGCCCGGTCGTCGCCAGCCCGTGCCACACCGCCGAGAGCCCTCAGCCGCCGCAGTCGCCGCCTGTCCTCATCGACACAGCCGCCTTGAGCACGAGCTCCGCCGCTGTCGTCATTGAGGCCGCCCAGATGCGGCCAGCTGCCTCTCGACCGGGGGTGTCATAGCCTAGCACGAGGGGTCGATACCCGGCTGCTCACGAGAATGAGGGTGTCCGGGGTTAGGGGGTGTGTGTGTGGGTTGTGTGGGTTTGCCACTACCAAGCCTAGGGGGTGTGTTCAAATTATATTTTTATATAATTGTAGGCTTGGTAGTTATGCTACTAACTGCATCCTACTGTAGGGGGGACAACCCCCTTCTTGTACTTCATTCTCTTCTAGTCTACGCCCTTCTCTCTCGACACTCTCGTCCAGCTCCTAGCTAAACCCTTGGCCGCCATTTCATGGCGGCCTCCTCTGTTCTTTCTAGTTCAGGCTTTAACAGAAAACGGGTTTCGCCAACCCCAGCAGACTCCAACCGAGGGAGGAAAGGGCCGAAGCTTGCAATTTGGGACTACAGAAGGTATGCTCTATGCTCCAAATCCGCGATTCGCAGATATGGACTACGACGAATAAGAGCGGTTCACTACGGGCAAAATGGATTATCGAGTAGCACGTACGGTTTTAGGTGGGATGGCGTATTGGCCCTTGGGCCAGGTTACCAGCGACTTCGCCGCGTGTCATGTGAGGGCTCATGTGGCTTCTTAAAAAACGTTCAGCAAATTTGTCGTCTGGTCAGAATTACCGCGGACAATAGAAGTAACACCTCGTTCTCTATCTTCCGCAAGCAGCGCATGCTCAAACGTGTTAAAGTCTGAACTAGGAAAAACAGAGGAGGCCGCCATGAAATGGCGGCCAAGGGTTTAGCTAGAAGCTGGACGAGAGTGTCGAGAGAGAAGGGGTATAGACTAGAAGAGAATGAAGTACAAGAAGGGGGTTGTCCCCCCTACAGTAGGATGCAGTTAGTAGCATAACTACCAAGCCTACAATTATATAAAAATATAATTTGAACACACCCCCTAGGCTTGGTAGTGGCAAACCCACACAACCCACACATACACCCCCTAACCCCGGACACTCTCATTCTCGTGAGCAGCCGGGTATCGACCCCTCGTGCTAGGCTATGACACCCCCGGTCGAGAGGCAGCTGGCCGCATCTGGGCGGCCTCAATGACGACAGCGGCGGAGCTCGTGCTCAAGGCGGCTGTGTCGATGAGGACAGGCGGCGACTGCGGCAGCTGAGGGCTCTCGGCGGTGTGGCACGGGCTGGCGACGACCGGGCCGAAGACAGCAGCTACGGCAGGAGCAGGAGGAGATGCAGGGGAGGGAGAGGTGGTGGGGCTGCTGTGGTGGGGCTGCAGGACTTCAGCGCGGCGCCATAGGCGCGGCGCTTACTGGAGGGAGGAGCAGGCGGGACGGGGCCCAGGAGGGGCGCGACTGGGCTAGGAGGCACGGCAGGGCCCAGGAGGGGCGCGACTGGGCTAGGAGGCACGGCAGGGCCCAGGAGGGGCGCGACGTGGATAGGAGGCACGGCAGGGCCCAGGAGGGGCGCGACGGGGAGGTGGAACGGCGGAGCCGCCACGTCAGGGCGGCAAGCCCAGCACGGCTTTTCGACGTGGCAGCCATGCGACATGGTCGCCACAGCGGCACGGCAGGAGCGACGAACGCACGAGAACGCAGCGGAAAGCACGGAGGGGAGCAGGCCCAGGAAGGGCATCCCGCTCTGATACCATGTTAAAGTCTGAACTAGGAAGAACAGAGAAGGCCGCCATGAAATGGCGGCCAAGGGTTTAGCTAGAAGCTGGACGAGAGTGTCGAGAGAGAAGGGGTATAGACTAGAAGAGAATGAAGTACAAGAAGGGGGTTGTCCCCCCTACAGTAGGATGCAGTTAGTAGCATAACTACCAAGCCTACAATTATATAAAAATATAATTTGAACAAAACGCGCAAATCATATAATTTGAAAAAACCCTTTTCGTGGTCTCACGAAAAGGGCTTAGCGTAACGAAATTATGACGACTCGCCTGAGCAGTTTCGTAAACCAATCACACACTTTCACGAAGGTGAAAAAAAACCATTTCAGAAAAACATTTCGACATGTGCATTGGTTAATGGTGATTGAGGGACCGTGGGTCCTGTTTTCGTATTTGGGACGGACCTGTTCGTGTCACGCGGAAAGCCTGAATATTTACGTCATTGGTTATAAAATATGGAAAACGCCTCGAATGTTCTTGATACGAGGATTAAAATAGGACTGAAATAATAAGACAGAATGGATGAAAAGGGGGTACGGATTCATGCCCAGGTCAGCGCGCATACAAAATTGCCAGGTGGACGGTGGTATCAGTTGGCTGTCACTTTTTTTGTCCGTCGTGATTGCGTCTGATCGCCCTGGCAAGCGTGTATTGGCTGGGCAATTCCAAGCACAGTTCACGATAAATTTCCGAGCTCGCACTCGCGGGTTGGTTGGCGACATTCGCATGCTGGTATCGCACCCAATTCGAGTGGCGCGACTCGATGGTCGGTGGCATTATGCGACTGTTGTGATTGGTCACAATGTTTTATTGCGTTTTTTTAGCGAAGTCAACAGTAGATGTATACCGTACAGACGGAGTACATCGTGGCCGATCTTATCGAATTTCGGACCTTGGCGTATAACATGGAGTAAAATGTCGTGGACCTAATGGCATACCCGCTGTACCAGAAACCATTTTGTTTACAAAATGGAGTCATGTGTAGCATTTCCCGGCCTCCTCGCTAGCACAGTCCTCTCGTCACCGTGCTCGCGCCTAGCGAGAGCATAATCTGGCTAGCTTGCCATGACGCGTCGTGTAGCATCCCGCTCCCCACAGCCAGCTACCCTAATTCTAGGCAGTTAAGTTTAGAAAATTTCTAAAAAACCGTACGATGCACTGGCGCCCACGCGTAAATTCCCGCTTCCGCCTCTAGCTGCGCTGAGCTGCCTGCAGCCGCCCATTACCCGCTCTCCCCCGCCCTCGGCGCTAGTTGGCTGCAAAGGGGAACACACTTTCCGCTTTTCCCCGCTTCGAGCCCGCGCGACCCGCCGTCCCCGCATAGCTCTTCTCAACCCCGCGGCCACGCCGTCTCACGCTGCGTCCCACAGCAAGTACCCAAGATGGAGGAAGAGAGGCGATCGAGCGGTGATGGAGAGAGGCGATCGAGCGGAGATGGAGAGAGGCGATGAATCAGGGAGTTCGAGAGGCGATAGAGCAGGGAGGGAAAGAGGCGAAACAGAAGGGAGGGGGAGAGCCAATACAGCAGGAAGTGAGTGAGTGAGGCGCAAGAGCAGGAGGGATAGGCGATACAGCAGGGCGGAAGAGAGGCGATAGTGCAGGCAGGACGAGAGGCGATACAGCAGGGAGGAACAGAGGCCGAGAAAAGCAAGGAGGGGGAGAGGAGTGAGAGGGGGGTGGGGGGTGAGGGAATGAGGTGAACTGCGGAAAGGAGGGAGGGAGGAGAGAGAGGGGAGAGGAATGAGGTGAACTGCGAAGATGAGGGGGAGACATGAGAGTGAGGGAGGGGGAGACATGAGAGCAAGAGAGGGGGAGATGAGTGAGAGCAA